GTGTTAGTTGTACAGACGATATGTTCGTGTTAGCTGTACAGACGATATGTTCGTGTTAGCTCTACAGACGATTTATTTGTGTTAGCTGTACAGACGATATGTTCGTGCCTGCTGTACAGGCGATCTGTTCGTGTTAGCAGTACAGACGATCTGTTCGTTTTAGCTGTACAGACGATCTGTTCGTGTTAACTGTACAGACGATATGTTTGTGTTAGTTGTACAGACGATATGTTCGTGTTAGCTCTACAGACGATTTATTTGTGTTAGCTGTACAGCCGATATGTTCGTGCCTGCTGTACAGGCGATCTGTTCGTTTTAGCAGTACAGACGATCTGTTCGTTTTAGCTGTACAGACGATCTGTTCGTGTTAGCTGTACAGACGATATGTTCGTGTAAGCTGTACACACGATATGTTCGTGCTCGCTGTACAGACGATATGTTCGTGTTAGCTGTGCAGACGATCTGTTTGTGCTAGATGTACAGACGATATGTTCGTGTTAGCTGTACAGACGATATGTTCGTGTTAGCTGTACAGACGATATGTTCGTGTAAGCTGTACACACGATATATTTGTGTTAACTGTACAGACGATATGTTCGTGTTAGCTGTACACACGATTTGTTCGTGTTAGCTGTACAGACGATATGTTCGTGTAAGCTGTACACACGATATGTTCGTGCTAGCTGTACAGACGATATGTTCGTGTTAGCTGTGCAGACGATCTGTTTGTGCTAGATGTACAGACGATATTTTCGTGTAAGCTGTACACACGATATGTTCGTGCTAGTTGTACAGACGATATGTTCGTGTTAGCTGTACAGACAATTTGTTTGTGTTAGCTGTACAGACGATATGATTGTGTAAGCTGTACAGACGATATGTTCGTATTATGTGTACAGACGATTTGTTCGTGTTAGCTGTACAGACTATATGTTCGTGTTATCTGTGCAGACTATACAAAAATCACCCCGAGGGTTTGATATTTCTCTGTCACACCCTCAAGGTAGGGGGTGAATATTTTTCTCCCATCCTAATATTTCAGTCACAGCTCCATCGACAGCTGTCTGCCTTGTTTCTGTGAGAATTCGAGACAGTACCAAGTTGATCAATATCGTGACGGAAAAGAGGAAGTGCAAATACAAACCCTTCGGACCTGTATATGCATGTAGATATGAAATAAATAAGTGTATTTACGAGGAACTAAACAGAACATGTTGTTATGATCTGGATGAGTTTACCAACTATTCAAATCATTGCCGAGACATAAAACGTTTAACTTTTTAAATGCTTCTTCAATATATTAAAAGAATGTGTGCGACTAGTGTAATCTAACCCTATTGTCATCTGGCAGGTCATAAGTAGCGGATTGTAAATCCGTTATAACGATGTTAAAGGCTAAGTTAATTTGAAGAAAACAAAATAGATATTGAAAACTTTTTTGTTTTCAAATTGTTTTCAATTCCTGTTTGCTTTAAAAACAAACTTAGTCTTTATTATTCATACAACACTAATGAATATCATTCTGAAGGTATCACGATGAGCTTTTTTTTTATTGCATCTTAACGTTAAATTGACTTGACCAGGCAGACACACTGTAAATACATAGTGATTGAAATTTTAATAGCAGACGATAGGTCAGATTTCAAAAAATTGTGTCTTGGTTTTCATTATTTAGAAACCTGTAGCGAGTAATGCTAGTTTTATGGCTATTTATAATAGTTGGATGTTTTAAGGGTTTTATACCTTGATGACATAACTTCCCTTAGTTTTAATTTCCCAAAAATACTGTTACATACACCTATGGTAAGTGTAGGTTCCGTAGACGTTATCCATCGCATCAATTCTTAATTCCTTATTAGTCTCTCTGTTCCTGGTGTTAGTCTGCTTCATATTTGTAATCATACACGCACCGTTTATACAAAATTGATTCCAATTGATCCAAGGATGCTCCAGACTAAATTGGAATACAATCCCTTCATCCCTACGGTAGAAGAAGGATTCTTAAAGGTGTTTCCTCTTTTCCCTCGTTTTGGCCCTGCCCCTCTACCATCAGGAGGGCCACACCCACCATTTATACAAAAATGAGTGTCTTTGGCCTAAGGATGCTCCAGACCAAATTAAGTCAAAATCAACTTGGCTGTTCAGAACTAGTAGCGTTTTAAAGGAAAAGTTGACAGACGGTCGCTGCGGTATAGCATAAGTTCACCATGGTCCTTCGGACCAGGTGAGCTAAACAAACAGTAAGGTGAGATCCGTGGTAGGTCTGCCTCAAAATGAGAAATGTCTGATGGGACGTTAAACTAAAATAAATCAAACCAAACCCTTATGTTAAATTTCTCTGTATAGTCATAACATAATGTCTAACTATCATATAAGTATTTACCAACATACCTGATACGACAGGGTGTTTACACATAATATTTAGACTCGGAGTCACGGAATGCGCGTATAAACGTGGTCATTAATATATTCTCAGCGTACCTTACGTGCCATATGTTTTTCACGACGTCATACATCCGATGTTTTGCAATGGAGATATTATATAATTGTCATTCTCTTGCGTTTCATTTCTCTGCAATAGTAATGATAGAACGATTAATTATGATATAAGCGTTGACCAACATACCCGAAACGACAGGGTGAGCACCGAATAAACATATACACATGTCCATAGGTATATGCTAAGCGTACCCTATACGTGCGATACCTCTTCCAGGAAGTGATGGATAGCATACATTGCAAGGAGACAATATATAACTTTCACAAGAATATTCATCGGAGGGAACCCCCTCGTCTGCATGGGCTCCACATGAGCCATATTTTACAAATGATCGAAGTGGAATACAGCAGGTCTATGGGGGAAAGTAATCGAACTCTAAATCAGCGTGTTTACCTGAGCGATTACCTTCATCAGTTTCATATATATTATCAACTTATGAATTGATTAGATTTAAAGAAAATATAAATGTGATGTACTTACCGAATCATAATGTATGTAAATCCTCGTGCGGTTGTTAGAAATACAAAAACGTTTATGACAAATCAATCCAGTTGTGCATTGTAATTTTCTCAATATTTCAACCGGAACTGGGGCGTCTTTGTTGAACTTGCACCAATTGCATAATACAGCGCAGGGGGGTAACTATTTAAAACAATAGCTTTTGTGATCACATTACTCTGGTATTTGGCGATACAAGGTATTTGTATAGAATGTTTCTGCGAGAATTCGAGGCAGTACCAAGTTAATCAATATCGTGACGGAAAAGAGGAAGTCATGCATGCATATATGAAATAAACAAGTGTATATACAAGGAACTAAACAGACATTTTAATAGCAGACGATAGGACATATTCCAAAAAAATGTATCTTGGTTTTCATTATTTATAAACCTGGAGCGAGTAATGCTAGTTTTATGGCTATTTATAATAGTTGGATGTTTTTAGGGTTTTATACCTTGATGACATAACTTCCCTTAGTTTTAATTTTCCAAAAATACTGTTACATACACCTATGGTAATTAGTCTGCTTTATATTTGTAATCATACTTTGATTTGAAGGGAAAACGAATAGAACTTGTGTATTGAAGCTGAGTTTTCACCTAAAATTTGTACATACTCGAGGAACAGTTTCGTAATCAATGGATTTTAATCATCTATCAAAATTTGTTTAAATTTGTTAACATGTACACTATTTACTTTTGCTTTATATGATTTTCGAAGTATATATCTATTTGTATTGTTATTCCTTTTTTCTTGATACTGATCTGATGTAGGCTATTCGCAAGAAAACTATACTCGTCTCTAAATTATGTATCTCATCAATAAGACAAACATCTCATCAATATGCTACACCCATTGCAGTATTTTAGAAACCTTTGAATTAGAACATTGAAATGGGTGCAATACAGCATACTAAATGTAAAAAATATGATATACATATAACACAGGGGCAAATTTCCAATAAAAAAATATACTTTTTAGCTGTACACACAATTGTTTTATTACAACATATAATTGTTTAGTACGTGTTTCAGTAAATCGTACCATACCTGTTTCTAACTACTGTATAGCGCTTTAAATTCGCGGGGTCAATATTTCGCCGTCTCGTATTCATTACATATTTCCGGGGGTTAAATATCGCTGTTCACCCGAATGTGTCGTGCAAAGTATTTTGAGTGTCATTATTTAAGGGTAAAACCTCAAAATACAGGTAAACCATTTGCACACACTGATCCCGTGCGTCGTCATCTGCCAGTGACTTCACTCGAAAGAAAAGCAAATGTGTATGTACCTTTGTAGGAATAAACTGATCAATTAATCACCTGCTGTGTACACAAAAGTGTTGTTTTATATGGGCAGCCCAGATGTCTAGTGCTAATCTGATTTGAGTTCATTTAAGTTTGCATAACAGCGTTGGGTTATAAGGATGTTCAACATGATGTGGCAAGGTCCTTACAAGTGGTTAACATTTTCGATAATTTCGCTGGTGTTTAGAATTCGCAGATATTAGTCAAAGCGCGAATTAAGCGAAATTAAAACCCCCGCGAAATATAACCGCTATACAGTATAACACTTCCTAAAGTACAAAATGTAGGTCTTCCAAACGGCTATGAATAACCATCGTTTAGCATTTAGTTAAGTTATCAGGGTGTAATGGAAAATATATTCTACACCTACAGTAGTACATCCTTTATTTTGGATTAGCTGTCCTGTGTGCTCGTTGATAATAAGCAATAACTCCCGTTTTGTCCTTTCTTTCACCTTTTGAAACTATTACTGATGGTACCATAAACTGTGGGTAGGACGTAAACCTAGTGAACAGAATTAAACAGACCATTTAAACGGCCTTGTTTAAGAAAACAACAATATATAACAATATATACCTGCAGGGGCGTCATATGAGTGTATCATCTATTCAAATCAATGCCAAAATATAAAACTTCATTTTGCAAAATGCTTTGTAGATATATATATTAGATATTTACAATGACCTGCTGGGGGTGTGCTTTTTTTATTTTTTTATGATTTGCAACCGAAAGAGAATGCTTTCCTGCGGTACACCAACTTCCTGTTCATGTAAAAAAGTGCCGTTCCGTTTTTGAAATACCTTATCTGATATATAGCATGAAATTTAATTTGGGTAATAACCTCTAATACCTGTATAGGAGTTTCAATTAATATTCCGACATGACAGTTACCACAATGGGTCGCACAAGAAAATAACGAACAAGTATTGACAACAGTTAATTTATAAAAAATATATAAAAAAGAAGCACTAATTATAATCAGTTTGGGTCCTACATAACATGGCTGTCCATTGAATTGTAAACAATTCTGAATACAAACAGACGATATACTTGTGTTAGCTGCAATAAATGTGATGTTTCCTTTTACATAGCCGTCCATGTGCTCCGTTTGGTTAGGTTCACGGAGTAAAACCCCCTATGCATAGTTCAGGCTACCACCAGATGTTGTTTCACAAAGCGCAACAAAGGATGGAATGTGAGTTATTGGTGATTTATCAACGAGTACACCAGCCCAGTTTTAAATAAAGGACGTTTTGTTTCAGGTGTTTTATATATGTCCCGTTAAACACGGGCGTCTAAATTAGATAATATAATCTTATATAATAGGGCTATTCGTACATTTTTATCGTTGGAAAGAACAACTTTAAGTAGCATTATGAAGGTGTTGTATGAACCGAACGAGAATTAACCAAAACATTGAATTGTATAAACATTTCTATATGAGGGTTACAACCAAGGTCGCCGACATAAGACAAACAATTTAAAATGATTGTTCACGGAAAAAGAAATTTGTATCAGTAGTTTTGGTCCTTCTATACCACAAGTCGTCTTTTTTAAAACTTGTAAACCGTTCTGAATATAGGCGATATGTTCGTGTTAGCTGTACAGACGACCTGTTCGTGTTAGCTGTACACACGATATGTTCGTGCTAGCTGCACATACGATATGTTCGTGTAAGCTGTACACACGATATGTTCTTGCTAGCTGTACAGACGATATGTTCGTGTTAGCTGTACAGACGATCTGTTCGTGTTAGCTGTACAGACGATATGTTCGTGTAAGCTGTACACACGATATGTTCGTGCTAGCTGTACAGACGGTATGTTCGTGTTAGCCGTACAGACAATTTGTTTGTGCTAGCTGTACAGACGATATGTTCGTGTAAGCTGTACAGACGATATGTTCGTATTAGCTGTACAGACGATTTGTTCGTGTTAGCTGTACAGACTATATGTTCGTGTTAGCTGTACAGACTATACAAAAATCACCCCGAGGGTTTGATATTTCTCTGTCACACCCTCAAGGTAGGCGGTGAATATTTTTCTCCCATCCTAATATTTCAGTCACAGCTCCATCGACAGCTGTCTGCCTTGTTTCTGTGAGAATTCGAGACAGTACCAAGTTGATCAATATCGTGACGGAAAAGAGGAAGTGCAAATACAAACCCTTCGGACCTGTATATGCATGTAGATATGAAATAAACAAGTGTATTTACGAGGAACTAAACAGAACGTGTTGTTATGATCTGGATGAGTTTACCAACTATTCAAATCATTGCCGAGACATAAAACGTTTAACTTTTTAAATGCTTCTTCAATATATTAAAAGAATGTGTGCGACTAGTGTAATCTAACCCTATTGTCATCTGGCAGGTCATAAGTAGCGGATTGTAAATCCGTTATAACGATGTTAAAGGCTAAGTTAATTTGAAGAAAACAAAATAGATTTTGAAAACTTTTTTGTTTTCAAATTGTTTTCAATTCCTGTTTGCTTTAAAAACAAACTTAGTCTTTATTATTCATACAACACTAATGAATATCATTCTGAAGGTATCACGATGAGCTTTTTTTTTATTGCATCTTAACGTTAAATTGACTTGACAAGGCAGACACACTGTAAATACATAGTGATTGAAATTTTAATAGCAGACGATAGGTCAGATTTCAAAAAATTGTGTCTTGGTTTTCATTATTTAGAAACCTGTAGCGAGTAATGCTAGTTTTATGGCTATTTATAATAGTTGGATGTTTTAAGGGTTTTATACCTTGATGATATAACTTCCCTTAGTTTTAATTTCCCAAAAATACTGTTACATACACCTATGGTAAGTGTAGGTTCCGTAGACGTTATCCATCGCATCAATTCTTAATTCCTTATTAGTCTCTCTGTTCCTGGTGTTAGTCTGCTTCATATTTGTAATCATAATTTGATTTGAAGGGAAAACGAATAGAACTTGCGTATTGAAGCTGAGTTTTCACCTAAAATTTGTACATACTCGAAGAACAGTTTCGTAATCAATGGATTTTAATCATCTATCAAAATTTGTTTAAATTTGTTAACATGTACATTATTTACTTTTGCTTTATATGATTTTCGAAGTATATATCTATTTGTATTGTTATTCCTTTTTTCTTGATACTGATCTGATGTAGGCTATTCGCAAGAAAACTATACCCGTCTCTAAATGATGTATCTCATCAATAAGACAAACATCTCATCAATATGCTACACCCATTGCAGTATTTTAGAAACCTTTGAATTAGAACATTGAAATGGGTGCAATACAGCATACTAAATGTAAAAAATATGATATACATATAACACCGGGGCAAATTTCCGATAAAAAATATACTTTGTAGCTATACACACAATTGTTTTATTACAACATATAATTGTTTAGTACGTGTTTCAGTAAATCGTACCATACCTGTTTCTAACTACTGTATAGCGCTTTAAATTCGCGGGGTCAATATTTCGCCGTCTTGTATTCATTACATATTTCCGGGGGTTAAATATCGCAGTCCATCCGAATGTGTCGTGCAAAGTATTTTGAGTGTCATTATTTAAGGGTAAACCCTCAAAATACAGGTAAACCATTTGCACACACTGATCCCGTGCGGCGCCATCTGCCAGTGACGTCACTCGAAAGGAAATCAAATGTGTATGTACCTTTGTAGGAATAAACTGATCAACTAATCACCTGCTGTGTACACAAAAGTGTTGTTT